ATGAATAGATTGCCGGTAAACGAGACCCACAGCTCGAATCGGAAGTGTTGGGTTGGGTCGAAGCTGTTCTCGGCGAACGTCTCCCGTCGGGCTCTTTCGAAGATGTCCTCCGCGACGGAACCATTCTCTGCAGGTCTGACATAACATTCAATTATTTCCACAATTACTTTAATAACCAATTTTCCAGAAAAATGCTATTTTATTAATTTTTAATTCTTTTATATTAAACGGCGAATCAATTGCAAAATATATGGTTTTATTTTTTGGATTATAATTTTGAATTTGGATTTATAATTGGATTTGATATGTATTAAACATAATATTTTTACTTTATTATTGCTATTAATCATTAATAATAATGTTGCAAATAATGGGAATTTTATAAATAGTTTTGTCACCACATCTCGTTAAAGATGCCATTAAATAGTGAACAGCAATTTTATTACCATTTTATGATTTAGTCGTAAATCAGACTAATTTAACAGTAATTCTGTCACAAAAGTTGTGGGTCATTGAAATTCATTCGTTAAATTACTTATATTTTTACATTTATTCTTCATTGAAAATAGTATTTATATTAAGAAACTGCATATTATTTATACGATTAGAAGTTATTATTATTATATTATTAAGCCATCAAATAAAACCATATTTTGTGATTTATAAAGATTTTTAATGTTTGATATGAGGTTTTATGTGCTTTTCTGGGATAAGACTAATAATAACTTTAGAGACGTATTGAACATAATGTGATTGCAATGCATGTATAGACTGATGAACAAACTAAAGCCGGGATCGATTCCAAAAGTGAACACAACGGGTGGTCAGTTCAAAATGATGGAGAATATAAACAAATTTCAGAGCGCTATCCGAAACTATGGCGTCCCAGACATCGATGTTTTCCAGACCGTAGATCTTTACGAAAGAAGAAATATACCACAAGTCACACAAAGTGTTTGCGCTTTGGGCCGCACTGTAAGCCAATATGCATTATATCATTCGCATTGCATGTCATATAACTATATTGCAGTACACATTAGTAACCTATAATGATGTTGCATGTGGTGGTTTAGTGTTATCTGCACCCGGAATGGCCAGGACCGTTTCTCGGCCCCAAACCGGCCGATGAGAATCGACGAAACTTCAGCGAAGAGCAGCTGCGCGCCGGAGAAGGCGTTATTAACCTACAGTACGGCACAAACAAAGGTGCGAACGCCAGTGGAGTCAACTTTGGCAACACTCGACACATGTAATCGTCGCCAACCTATTGAATGCCCGCAACAATCAACACAAAAACAATACTACAACTCCTTCTCTGCATTTCAATTGTTTCTTTTTGCAGACTATTTAATAAATAAGTTATGAAAACAATTTAATTAACACTTAAAATGATATGAAACGAAGAATAACAACAATTTGGTGGTCACTTAACTTTACTTTTCATTACTGCACATAATTTTATGCTAATTATTATTATTATTATATTATTTAATTTACTTTAAAAATACTTTCCTTTTGTTTTTTGGTCAAAAACACAGCTTTCCTTTCCTTTTCGTTGTTTTGAAACTTAAATTTGAAAATGAATTTGTGTTTCAAAATATTTTGAGTTTTCAAAAAACTTATGTAAAATCAATTCTCAAAACACAAAACAAACGATAAAAACAGGAAAAATAAGAGTAGATAAGAAGAAAAATGATTTTTGTTTTGCTTTTATACCAAACATTTAAAAAATAAAGAATGAATTTTGAAAACAATTTTTTTGAATGAATAATATTTAAAAAAACAATAGAAAAACCAAAATAATAGAGACTTCACTGCCTATTATATAACAGTAAAACTATTTTTCAATTACTGTTTTAATTTATTTGACGACATTTGTAATGCACAACATTTTATCAAATAAAGCAAATCTTAATTTAAATTATAAGTTAAGCCTTAGCCAACACTCCAGCCGTTTCTAACATATCTTGTTTTTCATTGAAGTACTGCTTATAGTACTGAATGGTGGCGTGTTTTCGCTCTACAGTGATGTATGGGTTCGATGACAACCCAATCACCACTAAATCCATGAACTTCTTGACCGGACCCGAGTCGGGAAAGCCCTCCAATAGATGGTCGAGTAAGACGTGTTCATAGAAGGGCACCTTCTCTTCCTCCTCCAGACCTGACATTCATATAATAAATGGTTTTCACATTTGTTTCACACTATATCCAATGATAGAATGAATACCTTGTTCATTATTAATGGGATATTTCCATAACTTTCCCTCTTCTGTCCATTGAATCATCTCTTCAAACATATTCTTCGGCGGCTGAGCGACCGCTTCGTGCAATTCGTCGTCCAAAAGTCGGTCCCAAATCAGCATTTTTGGCGCATCCGTCGCCTCTTTCATGTCGGCCTCGAATATACCGATACTCTCACCGGAGAACAAGTTGTGACTCTCTTGACTCAAAAATGCCGATTTCTGTCGACTCGGTTTCATTACTCTGTGGTCACCAAATGCATCGTCCGTTTCTCGTCGATCGCCAAACGGTCGCCTTCTTGGACTAAACTCTCTCTCTTTTCCACTCAAATCAAACAACTCGTCGGTCAGTGAATACGGTTTTTCTCTTCTATCGCCAAAAGGTCTCGGTTTTTGCCTAAATTCCTGTCGACCTTCTCTCTCGTCAAACAACTCATCGGAGAGGGAATATTGTCTCTCCCTTTGCGGCACATTATTCCTACCCTGAGGTGCGATAGGAATAAAGTGCGTACTCTTTGGCTCTTCTTTAAGAACTTTCATTTTGCCTAAAAGTGATCTACAAATACAAACACACTATAAGTTCATATAAAATAGTGTTTCAAATAATTAAAACTGACGCCAATTCCTCTTTAGGAAGCGTTTGTCCACTTTTGGCGTAATTGGTTTCAATGATCTGAAGTTTAAGCAATTTTAATAAATCCCTTTCAGTCTTCTTCGACTCTTCGCCTTTCAAAGTGCGAGCGATTCCTTTGGCCGCCAATACTAACCGCTCGTCGATATCACCACTGATTCTGCGGACAATACAACTCTTCAAATCAATAATCGATTCAAACAAATCATTAAATCATTTCATCGATTACTCATTGATATCTTCTTTGATGGTGTCTTCGATGGGAACCTCTTTTCGGGCACTCTTTTTGATGTGAAACACAGGCTTTGCCAACACTTCGCGCAACTTATCGTCCGGTTTGCCAAAGATATCC